ACCACATTCGTGAAATATTAAAAAGCTGCACTTGTCTGATACCCTGGGTACCCTTAACATAAATTAGAAACAGTAGCAGCTAATCTCCACGCTCCCCTCACACTCACAGACAGACACGCTGTCCCCACCCTTGCTACATGCTGAGTGAAGAGTAAAGTGTGTCCCCCAAAGGCCAACAGGCCAATACTGTTTAAGACCAAGGCGCTAAACTGAGGGCCCCTCACAGGGAGCAGTCCCACCAGCTCTGCTCTCTCACACTGAGAGGGAACCATCTGGGGCCTCTATTCACCACAAGAGGAGCAGTATGGTACCCGTGAGATGTGGTTTTAGGTAGGCTAGCACTAAAGTGTTTGCATTTTAGAGGTTAAAAGCAACACCATCAACTCTCCCCAGAAACTGGTAGGGAGTCAGTGCAGAGTACAGGTGCCAAGCGCCCACTGAACATCACCCCTTGCCGATGCATTCTGACTCCTTCTGCACCTTTCCAATTTCAGAGGTTCTCTGCATCGCCCCAGAAATTGAGAATGGAAGAAAAGTAGCTGGACGTGGACCTGTCTATAGACCCAGGGACATAGTTAGGTTTGAATGTGATCCTGGCTACACCCTGAATGGCAGCCATCAGATTCAGTGCCAAGATGAAGGAACCTGGGATCTTCCTGTTCCAGTCTGCATACAGGGTAAGTGTGAATCTAGGCTGACTGCAGGGTAACTGAGATGATCAATATCTGGTAGGGTTGTGCCTGGAGGCTAAAAAATAAACATACTTTGAATCCTGGGGTCACTTTTCAGCTGTGAATGGGGAACATACAAATATCCGCCCATCCCCTAATCTCTTGACTGGGCTCATCACTGTGATAGCTGATCACCTGCATCCTGCCATGCCCTCCTGACAGACAGAGATCTGGCAATGCTCTGTCTCACTGAGCGTCCTAACGGTGTGATTGGAATCACAAATCAGTAGAACTCTCCCCCGACTACTCCCTTTTTGGGGAGGCATCACTTCATTGTACAGCATCTGGAGCTTAGAGCAACCCCCACCCTCAATGTGAAGGTGCGTTTCTGTTCTGTTTGCTGCTTCCCTTTGCCTCGCTCCGTGTGTCAGACACACACAAGGATTTAAATTGACACCATGAGAACTTTGAGACGAACCTCCATTTCAGCAAATTCCACAGCTGGGGACTAAACTTCTAGCAAGACACACTGGCCAAAGTCACTGCTGGCAAGAGGAGCTCCTTTAACTTCAGTGGCTTTGCATCCACATGTACCAGTGGTGAATGGTTCTGCGCGTGCAGCTGGGTAATGTTCATGCTGAAAGAATTGATAAAAATGACAAGAGGACGTCAGAGTGTAGAAATAGTTATGAAATTGAAGTACAGTAAAAGACTTATCAAAGGAAATGGCTCAGTCCATTCCATCCCACACGTGCATTAGAGTCTAAAGGGTTTGTTATGCTTTCCCTTTCAGTGACGTGCGTGAGCCCAGAAGTGGAGAATGGAAGAACAAATGGGGTACAGCCTGCCTACAGACCCAGAGACATTGTTGTGTTTGAATGCGACCCTGGTTACACCTTGAGCGGCAGCCACGAGACTCAGTGCCAAGATGATGGTAGATGGGATCCTCCTGTCCCTGTCTGTGAAAGAAGTAAGTGTGACTAAGGCTTTGATGGTGGGTTATCTTTGATCCCATTGTGATGAGTAAGATCTGGCAGGGTCAAAAGGACTGTGGGATTAGTTTGAGATCTGAAAAGGGAAATGCAAATATCTGTGTAGCTATCCCAGTGTTTCCCGTGCTCCTCTCCGTAGTACCTTGGCTTTTCCACTCTCCAAAAAGATCCCCGAAGAACTGAGTCCTGGTCAGCTTTGCTGACTTAACCCCCTCCCAAGTTAAGGGAATGTATGGATGGCCCCTACCAACCAAGAAATAGTCCCAAAGTGGCAGCATTTCCAGTGTAAACACAAAATATACAGTGGAAATAGCCCATGGACCCTTACTAAAGGTAGCTGGGGAAATGTCTGAGGGTTACAAGAAGCATGACTGAGTCATCGTGCTTTATAGGTGTTTGGGGGGATTTGAATGGATGGAGGTCAGTAACTTTACCCCTGATGTATATTTGCCTCACTGCTGTTGCATTGGGCACGACTCAACAAAAGCATGTGGATCTTTTTGCTTCTGGAGATCAGCCTGTATCAGCTCTGCTTCAATGAAGACTCTCTTTCCTCCCTGCAGTGCCGCAGTGTCCCTCTCCTCCAGCCATC